GAGAAACCATAAACAGCAGGCAGGTCAGAAGCGTCCGGGTTGGGTTCTGAAAGGACAGATCCGGAGAGGTGAGTATACGAGGCCGGGAATAACGTGCTGGGCTTACGGGGTCCGAAGAATGTCTGCTCGGGGAGGCAGAGGGAGAGGGAAGCTGACTTGGTGATGCTCGCTGCGTCAGGACACCCAGGGCGAGGAGATCCAGATCCCTGCTAGCGGGCTCGACTGGTCCCGGACTTGATCCGGTTTCCGGGCTCGATCAAACCTGAGACGAGGAGACGTGAGATTAGAACAAGAACGTGTCGCAACACAAGGCTTTCTAATGGCTCTCAGTTACCACAAGGATCAACACTCTGAAGTGCAAGTGTTGGCTGGAGGCTCCTCTTATACTCCTGGAACTGATCAGATGATCTGCAGGTGTGTGCTGACACACCCGCAAGGTGGAGCCGCAGGAGAGAGCTGAGGGAGCCCCCTGGTGGCGAGCTAGCGGCAGCACGGTGACAGAAGACGACAATAAAAATACACAAGAGCTGTCAGAAGCAACATGTCTTATTGTAAACAATCAAAATTGTTGATTGCTAAATGTTCAGAGATGTTATTTTATTCTTTGGCATTTGTGTGGAAAGGCTTGGTTTTTATTACTCGTATCGTTTATTCATGCGTTCAAGTAATCAAGAAGATAATTTCACAAACGTCCCAAATTCCTTATAGTGGCAACCTAATATTCTCTTGCTTTCTCCCTGACCTTTCGCCTGGATTTCTAATGTGATTGAATTAAACTCAGGAGGACTCTGTTAACTAAAAGCATGTCTTATTGAACTGATTTAGTTTAGGGGTATCAGAGTAAAGTGAGCCGAGTGCAAATGCAGGACACACTTTTTGGGTTTTTATTTGTTTTAGTTTTCGTTTTTGTTTTAAAGGCAGAAAACACGTATCCTTTTCCTTATGCTTATATGCACCACTTTATTCCAGGCTATTAAAATACGCCAATATTTGTGGTTGTAATGTGGCAAAATATAGAAAAGCTTAAAGGAGATGATTACTTTTTGAAGGGAAAGCAGGGTGAAGACACTGACATCATATTTTCTTTCTTTCAAGATAAGATTGAAACTGTTGCAGGTTCTTTCTCCTTTTTACCTTATTACCCAATCAGATGCACATCCTTGATTGATTAAGTCAGAACTGATACTTATTAGCAGAATATGTGTCTGTGTTTGCATGCGTTCATTTAAGAGCAGACCTCTGACTTTACGCATTAATTACATGCTTTCTTGTTGCAATGACATTATTTAAGGAGCTCTGTCTACCGTGAGTGACATTTCATGATGTTAATTATGGCCTCAGTGTTAGAAAATACAAGTCGACACACCCATCCATCAGACATGCAGAGAGAGGATATATGCCGCAAGGAGCCTGACCCGTCGCTCTGTTCTTCATTGCACTTTGACACTGCAGAAATAAGAAACAGGAAAGATGCTACAGGTAACCTCATTACTTTCTACTTGTCATTTTTCCATATTAGCTAAATAAGTCTGAGCTGATATATCAGATAAAATTTAATATTATATTTGCTACATATAAACCTATATATATATTTCCTGTTAAAGAAAATCAGTTCATCCTACTTTTCTTTCCATGCACCTTAATTGTGCGAAATATAAGAATAACTGTGCTAACTGAATCTGGTTCTGGTACAGAACCAGAATCTGGTGTGTAGCACACAGAAAAATGTGATTCAAAATAATAAATGCTTCACTGTATTTGTTTTTTGAGAAAAGTTACTTAGAATTATACCTTGGGACGGCTCCTTTCATTTCTGTTCCAACACAAACACAAAACCTTATTACTGAAAACAGCTCACATAGTTTTCAGATTTTTATTTTTTACCTGCATAATAATGAAAAATATAAAAACATAAGGAATTTTAATGAAATTTGCAAAGTGGTCTGTCAGGTAGTCACATTTTTATAGAGAAGTAAATCATGTGAAACATAAAAAGAGTTGTACAATTATCTTATTAGAAACACTTGTATGTCCCACATTTCTTTTATTTCCATTTTCTCTCTACATTGTGCTCTATAAACTTTTTTAGTGGGCTTGTTAATAAAACTGCCTGGTGATCCCAAACCAAACCTAGGAGGAAACCCACACATGCACAGGGAGAACATGCAAACTCTATGCAGAAAGACCAGGACTCGAACCCAGAACCTTCTTGCTGCAAGGCATCAGCTCTACCAACTGCACCACTGTGCAGCCTGAACTTAATTACATCGAACTTCAAATGAGAGTTATTATACCTGTGAAATGATTTTAATGAATGAAACTGTCCTGAAAGATCCTAGGTTGAAGATAATGGAATGGAAATAATAGATCAATAGAGGAGGCTTTGGGTGAGACATGCTGTTGCAGCGAGGCCAGGTGTGCAGCGAGGCCAGGTGGGATAGTAACTGGGGAAGCGGTGGATTTAGGTCAGAAGGGAGAAGTGTAAACAGATGTTCGTGGCTGAGCGGACTAAGTAAAGAGAAGTGGGAGTGGGTGAAATGTTAAGTGTTTTCCAAAGGCTAAGTGGTCACATAGGATCCACCCACATGAACGGTTGAGTTGTCATGTATACCATCTTCACCATCCACATACACACACATGTAAACAAAAGATATATAAACTCTAAAAAGGGGAAGCAAAGGGTTCTTTGTTCCTGGTGTCGGAGTAGAGCTAACATGATGCAGAAGAACCAACAGCAGAGGACGGCGCCCTGGAATCCACGGACAGGCTAAGGCTCTGCACTATTTGAAGGTGACAAGACCCGTTTACCCATAGATCTGGGATCCTTGATTCGACCGCTGTCCTCTGCCCAGAGACCCCAACACTGCTGCAACGGACTTGATGAATGGACAAAGGTCACTGATTGACTGAGATCAAAGAGTCTAAATGATAAAAAGGCCTAGATCTGCTTTGTTCCATTTCAAGGGGATTTTCGTCTCATCAAGACAAGATTCTGACCAAGAACTTCAAAATCTCTGTTGCCAAGGGACACTACATCCACTGGGTATGAGTCCAACTGCTCCCCAAAGCCTTTTAGAGAATCTAGTGACAGGATATCTAAAATTGTTAATTGTAATTGGTAATCCTTTTGAATGAAGCTGTTGTCACTTAACCCTGCTCAAGCTACTAATAAAATATATATTACATTTTGTTGACAATTGTGGACATTGAAACTAATTCGGAGTCAGGAATTATTAGTGTTGCTTCTGAATTATGATCAAATCTATGTACATGGTTCCAGGAAAATGGTGGAACTGTAGGTTTCTTTGGCGATAAATAAATAATTACCCTGGAGTTCAAACCGAACCACTAAAAATGTATCTAGCCTGTACCAAGTGCTCGTTATTAAAGGGAGAGAGCTGCCGTTAACAAAAGTGATCACTGAGGTTATGTGACTGCGAGAGCTACTCAGTTAATTGCCTTGATAATTGAAAAGGGTGATAACTTTTGGATCGGAGGCAGTTAGAGGCTAGACGAGTCTTCCCGCCACCAGCTTACACAGAACGTCTCCTAGACTCTCTATGGAGTAAAGGCCCCAGGATCTAAAGACTTTCCCGACCCGTTAGTTGGAGAGCTGGTCAATAGTCAGTCCATGAGAATTGGGAAGATTAAGGTGGGGCTGGCTATTGCGCAATAACAGACAACACCTCTGCTGTAACCAAGCCATTTCACACTTAAACTATGTCATTTCTGTTTATCTTCATGAATTAAAGTGATAACCTGTCATAAGATTTCCCAAATGTTGTCCATAGATTCTGGGGCTCTTAATTCATCTTTAAATAATATATGTCTATCCATAAATTATTTATTAAAAATATACAATAAAGTTTTCTCAAACAAGTTTTTTCTTTATTTTTGATTAATTTATGCAGAGATAACTCAACAGATCTCAGTTAAATGTTTGGCTTAGATTTCATTTCAATGGAAATCATGAACTTTCTGTTGTTCTGCTTCTGGTGCAGAAAGGTGGACCAGAACTTCATTTCCTCCTCAGGATCCAGAGTTCTGCAAATCATCACCAATTTCAGCTGTTGTACATGTGATGGATCTGAAAATATTCTATCAGTTTAGTTTTCTTATCGGGCTGCACAGTGGCGCAGTTGGTAGCACTGCTGCCTTGCAGCAAGAAGGTTCTGGGTTCAATTCCTGGCCTGGGGTCTTTCTGCATGGAGTTTGCATGTTCTCCCTGTGCATGCGTGGGTTCTCTCCGGGTACTCCGGCTTCCTCCCACAGTCCAAAAACATGACTGTCAGGTTAATTGGTTTCTCTAAATTGTCCCTAGGTGTGAGTGTGTGTGCATGGTTGTTTGTCCTGTCTGTCTATGTGTAACCTCACAACCTGTCCAGGTTCTACCTCGCCCTCTCCCGGAATGTCCGGTGGAGAGATTGGCACTAGCACTTATCCTGACCCCTGTAAGGGGCAAGGAGGTATGAATGGATGGATGGATGGATAGTTTTATTACTGTTTCAGGTTACTGCGCATGTGCTGGATTTTAATTCCATAGGGCTCAAAAGTTCCCTCCGATAAATACAATGCTGCCATTTGCCCAGCAGATGTCGCCCTTTATACACTGGCTCTGTAACATCCTGATTTATTTCCTTCATTTTCAACATGAAATCCTCTCGAATTGCTAAAGTTTTTATTTATATGCATTCAACTGACAAAATCACTAATCCACAGCTTAACCTTTATCTAAAACTCTATGAACATACCATGAAGTTATTAATGTAGTGCTATCAATGAAACCATCCTAAATACATCACAGACTGAAAATTACAAAGTTCAAAGATGGACAAACTTACAGAGCCCATCCGGAGACATGGGAATTAAATCACTCTTGGCCATACCGTCTTATAATGAAGTTGTTCCCACAAGATATTATATATAGCTGCTTTTTCTTCTCCTGTGTCGCTAGACGGGTTCTGTACCAGCTTGTCAGGGTTACAGAGAAAAATAACAAACAGCTTTACAGAAATGTATTGTGAGTGGTCAATGTGGAGGTAGGACTGGAGGAGTTACAACATTCAGGAAAACACTCATCACAGTCCCAATGAAAAAAAAAATTGCGACCACATAAAAACAAAAATGAAAGCTTCAATGTACAAAACATTCAAAATGCAACAGGGTAGAATTACATTTATGTTCCAGAAAAAAAATCCAATGTAATATTTAACATGTTTTCTGCAAAGCCTGAAAAACATCCTAAAACATTTGTACAATAAGCAAAACTGGTGACATTTATCAGACCTTAAGAGTCGTTTATTTGACACTTTGAATAAAGAAAGAAACGCTGAAATCTAACAATGTTGCCCAGGAGCAAAGCCGCCATATTAGCTGCTTAGGCCATGTCTTCTTCTCCCTCCTCTTCAAACTCTCCCTCCTCCTCGGCAGTGGCATCCTGGTACTGCTGGTACTCAGACACCAGGTCGTTCATGTTGCTCTCTGCCTCGGTGAACTCCATCTCATCCATGCCCTCGCCGGTGTACCTGTGACGAGGCAACATTAGCATGTAAGCCTTGCACTAGAACGCCACTGTGTTTTAGTACACCTGATAGCCTGATAAACTCGGTGAGACAGAGGATGAAAGTTGCATTTTCAGATAGTGCGGTTCACTTTCACACTGCACTGTGTCAAACAGACCAAACCTGTTGAAAAACCCATTTCCCTCCTTCCATCAAGGAGTTAGCTTTTTTATTTGGGCTCAACTTAAATGTATATAACATGCTATTTCATTTTGTATGTCTATAGATTGCAGTTTTACTAGCACTTACCTTTACTTTTTCTGCTAAGCTAGCTAAAGCTAATTTAGAAGCCCGCCCAAACTAAAGTGTAACTTTTCAGTTGGTGTCCTAACGAATTTAGGTCTCACTTTTAAAACTTAATGGTTACTTACTTTAGCACCATTCTGGTTGCCACATTGACCAGCTTGAAGATGAGGAATTTCCCTCATTTTTATTGAAATAAAGCTTTGAGTCTGGTGCAGCAATCCGCTAATGGAGGGAACTTTTTTTTCTTCTTCGCTGTTTGACGGTTGAAAGTGTTAAGCAGGTACGTCCAGAAGAAAGGGGGGGGTGTGGTGGAGAGGGATTGAGCCCCTTCCCTTTTATCTTTGATGCTCCTATTGCCCTTTTTGAGTTTGCTTGTTTCTTTTTTCTTTCTTTAATTTGTATGTCAGGAGGCCTGCTTGTGCACCTCAACAATAATATTTAGCTAAATATAATAATTTTGCAAAATAAATTAGTCTGGCTGCCCTTGGCCTAATAATGACCTGATTCTCAGTGCCTCTGCCTTCATGTTGTTGAGACACCGGGCCCAGCAGGAGGGGGCGGATGTGCGCCGTCTAACTATCAAATTATGGGCAAGAATATAGTTTTTCAACATACACTTGTTTGTGAATAAAAACGTAGGTCTGATGTTGATGTTAGAAGGACTGTTTCTACTTATTTTTCGTATTTGCCCTCGCAAGAGCGGGAAAAAACCCTCCTCTCTCCCAATCCAACACATTCTCACTCCCAACTCGTCACATATTGACGCTTGGGCAGGTA